AGGCTTGGGAGGACATCTGGTGATCTCGTTCAGCCCGGGGTTTGTGTGCCGCTATTAACGGGACGTACATCCACCGGCCATTGTGCAACATGTCAGCGCAGAGGTTGTATTAGTGTCAAGTCTTTGCAGGGTTGTTTCATTGTGACCCCAACAGATTTTTCCTTTTTTTTCCACCAATCGAACAACAACAAAGGCGTCTCATTCTGCCACGGTTCATCTGAAGCAAGCATATGTTCAGCAAGGCGGGCAACAGTTGGCTGCGGGATGGACTATAGGCTTGGGAACAAAAGCCTATGCTTTCACTGGCATGGAGGACATTTTCAGGCCTGATCACTTGTTGGAATGGGTTTTGTCCGCCATCCTTTTCTGCGAGTGTCATTCTTTAGCCCATTCTCTCCTTTCAAGGCGTGTTTTCTAATGTTTTACACTTCATATACTCTGGCCTGTATGGCCTGCTTCAGTTCAGGGCTGACATAATTGATGACAGTCTGAATATGTTCTTAGTCCTCTCATGGGGGAAGTCTGGTCGAGATGGTAGCTTCTCAATCACCCGGAGATCACAAGTACCACGCTCATAACATCCCCATCTACATGACCCAGAGAGGAGCTGAAACTCAGCTACCGCCCCCAACCCCTGCCATTTGTTATAGTGCTTGAATGGCTTTAGTGATGTCAACAGCTGATGGGGTGGAAAGGGGAGAAGGCGAGCCCCTCCCATCGGGCTGCCGGTTAAGGCCTGCTACCCTTTCACCTTCCTTGGGATCTTGGCGTCCAGTTTCCAGTCATAATCCTCCAGCTCATTATGACTTTTACCGTTTTCATATTTCATGGGATAAGTGTTTCCACAGACTAATCGCTTTATTCTTCTTTTAAAACCTTTTGGTTGCTATGAATTGAATGAGAACATACTGAGCCACCCCAATAAAGTATTGATAGTTCATAGCAGGCCTGTACCCCCCCCCGAAAAAAAACGAAAGCGGTCAGACTGAATCGTGATCTTTCCGTGTGCTCTGCTGTTTGTATCCATTGAAGTCAGGTTGTAAGCCATACACACACACACACACACACATACGTGCATCACCTGGTACATAAACTGTGATGAAAATATATCGTGTGAGTTGAGTTGTAGTATGAAAGTTTAACATGAAAGAAAATAGATTGCAGTATTATGATTTTACTAGCTGGTCCATTACATTTTTCCTACAATGGACAGACATTTAGATAAATTGATAAAATAAATTGTTCTGTTTGATTGTATTACGTGACTTTGCCAGTTAGAAATGGAAGAACTGATAAGAAGTGATGGTGGAGCCTCACATGTTAGTGAAGCTTCAAGACCGTCACCAAATGACGTACTTGGTTAAGGTGCCTGTGTTTGGAGACATGTCTGTTTATTGATCGTTTGCTTCTAATGAGCTGAAATAATAATTACCAGAGGACATAGTTCACTTTATTAACTAGCAAAATACCGTATTAATACTTACCGTATTAAGTGCTTATATGGTTATGCTTTTGGTATTGCCATCTGTCCACTTCTGCCAAGATCACAATGCACATAGTATGCCTATATATTTTTGAATATTCAAAGAATGAGAAAATAATGTCACCTTCCTGAGGGACAGACAAACTGAAGGCCCAACACTTATTTTTTCAATAGAAACTTGTAGCTATGAAGGGTTATTCCCTGCCAGTTCCGGGTGTCTGATTGGGATAATTATGTCTTAATTATGGTTCCCAGACATAGATAGAAATAACCAAACTAAGCCTAAAGTTTAAGATGAGAAAGTACTTAGTTCTAAAGCTTTTCATATTGTGTCAACTTTATTTTCATTTTTATAATATAAAAATGGCTTGCAAAGAAAATAATAATATAAATACATATAAAATAATATCTTTTGTATCTTAAATTAAAATATTTAATGTTAAATGTAAGCTTATGAAACACCTTCAGATAACTCGTCAAATGGGGCGAGAATGGTCTCTGTGATGTTATGAAAATGCTAGATGGGTTCTGAGTAATTCTGGTTTCATGAACAGCCCTAACATCTCCTCTTGTAGTAAAGGTGTCCGTTGGTGGCTTGCTCACTTGTGCAGTGAACCAGTAAGGTGAGATGAATATGGATTATTTACCTCGAGGGCCTGTTGTGCTGATGTGCACATAAAAGCACCATTTTCAGGTGAAATATGTAAGCGGTATTTACCATCCTACTTGGGTAAAAAAAAAAAAAAAACTGAACAACATTTTGTCTCATTTGGATTAGATCTTCCCCCCTCCTCCCTCATTCAAAGAAGCGTGAAGGATCCTGGAAAAGCACATTTAGCAAAGTTTGGACATAGGAAATGTGTGAGCAGGAGAGAGATTCGCCTCAGGCAACTCTAGAGCCTGGAATGAGGAGCTAAAATGTTTGAACTGGACGGGTCTTTCAACACTAGTGTCTGGGATTCCTCTATCACGCCAGGCTGTGTTTGTGTTTATTTACTCCCAGTGCCCTTTATAAGAGAAACTATCGGTGCATTTCCCAGTATAAATATACATGGGCACTGCTTTAAAGAGCCCTGTTTCATACCTGCCCTCGCTCTCACCCTCTGCTACACCGAGGTCATGGGGACGCCTCCTGTTGCTTTCAGGAAACTGACGATAGCGACTGTCGTCTGTCCATAAACACAGCGTCCCTATGAGGGCCGGTGATAACAGAGGGTCAAGATAAGGCAGCGGGGCTCCAGTCAGGGCCGGGCACGCCAGGCCAGCATGGCGCCCAATTGCCGTAGCTCACTAAGCCTCAAAAAGGCTTCAGGAGCACCAGAGGGCTTCATGAAATTGACTCATTCAGCACCCAGGCTGAAACACAGCACAACAAACACTAGGAGCCAGTCATCAAGAGACACACACACACAAGGTCTCTTGAGGCCACCTGAACCATGTTTGCTAAGTCTTACAAGTAAGGTGAGTGGAGTTGAAGAGGTTATTGGGGCAAGCTTTCAGACTTTAGACGTTTCAGGCTCTCCACGTGTCATGTACTCCCTGTTAAACCTTTGACCTGAACCCCAATCCCCTATATTTTAGATACGACAGCAGTTAAAGAAATATCTTGGCTTTCAGTTACTTCTGATTCCATCTCTCAGTCATTCTTAGCCACACCTTAGAATGAAAGCTTCCAACATGCCTTTTTTGTAATGGTCGAACAAACCATTAATGAATTAAGGCAAAGAATTAGAAGGGAAATTGAATATGCCTTTTGCAGAACTCTGCAGAAAGATGCTTGACTAGACTGCAGCCAGTAGTGCAGAGCAGGATTTGGCTGCTTATACCGGTTCACGGAAGAACTGTTAGTTCTGGTTCCACCTGCAGGAGAACTCCATGAACACAATGGAATATAAAGTTATTAAAGCCCAAGTGTCCAACCCAGAAAAAGTCTCCTTGGTTGGCTGGTCATGAAGCTCACTGAAATAACTAGTAACAATACTGAACAGCCTCAAACCAGCAGACTCAAGAGACTCTGGGCATGCTTCAGCTGTAAAATAGGAAATATGCATCTTTCTTTGCAAGAAATATCAGCAGAGACTGAATCTGAAAAAATCAGGCCCCCACAAGGACAGGCTTGGCGGTCACTGTCAAACATTAAATGTGGGAAAAGGGGTGTCCATCCTCAGACTGTGTCAATAAAACAAATAAATCTCTCCATCAGTGTCAGATCCCGAGGGAGTAGCTGTCCATCTAGAGCAGAGACACTGTCCCACCATTCAGCACCTGCTCGTCAGAAACAGAAACAGAAACAGCGACACCAAAAACTGACAGATGCTGCAGGAATGTGGGTGGCGTGTGGTTAGGCCTCAGTGCCTGTAATCGGAAGGCCTCTGGTTTGAATCTCATCCTTGGCAGAATCGTGAAATCTCCTATGGGCCCTTGTGGAATGTCCTTAACTCCACACACCCCCCAAGTGCTCCAGATAAAAAGACTGACTCTGTACTCGAACCCCAAGCTTCACTCTCAGCCCTGTGTGTCTGTCCGCCTCAAAGGAGAGCATGTTGGCAAACGTGAAAGGCATTCCAATGTACCTCGACTTGTGAAAATGACAAATAAAGCATTGTTTCATTTCAGCAATATATGTCAATACCTTCATGCATATTACGTAAGAATGTTTTTATCAGTCCCTTTTTAATTTTTCGGTTGTGTGTTTTAGTTGTAGAAAGCCGTGCACACAAATTCTGATTCTCTTATCAGCACTTTTGTCAGATCTTTAAAGCTCACTGAAGCTTGCGTTGAATTGAACTATTACTAAGTCAATAAACATCCCTCAGTATGGTTATACTGTTATTAGCAGTGTTGCTGTTCTCCTGAAAAACTGCAGTGCGATGCAGGTCACTGCATCCAGGCCGCATCCTTTCTCCCTATCAGAGGCTTCTCATCAAGCCCTCTGACAGTCTGTCTCGTCTCAGCGTGCTGGAGACTCACTAAGAGTAATTATGATTGAGTGTCACTTTATGTGCCTTCGGGAAGTAGAGCGTCAGGCGTGTTCTTACAAGAACATGAAAGGCAGCTGTGTTGTCTGGGAACCTGCGGAGTACAATAAAAGAAATGAGAGTGATTCACTGCTGCATTCACCCATCAGGTATTGAATGTCAGGGAACAGGTCCATCACTGTGCCCCCGATGGGCAGTTTGGAGTGACAGCCTGTTTAATGACAAAGGAAGATGAATCTTTTCATCCACTTTGAGTAAAAATGGTTTGGTTATGACATTCTCACTAAATACCCCTTACATTTTTATGTAAACAAAGTATTGAGTTGTGGCTCGGTTAAACTTTAGGTTAGTACTCCATCCATGACACTTTTTATACTCCAGCTCTTGAAAGAAGCATCAAACATTTAAGCTTTTAAAGACAATTTGTATACAGTCACAGCTGTTGCCAAGCAGGGATGCAGACCTTGTCAAGCTGCATTCACTCAGATCAGGCCTGAAACAAACCCACATGATGTGTGATGATTCCGATTCCCTTACAGACACAGCTGACGCTGGCTGTAGCAGAGGATGACAGCTGTGAGGAGCAACGGAGGAAGGAGGTAGCTGAGGCCCTGCTGCCGGCCCTCACGGAGCGCCAGCAGCACAGACTCACCTGGAAGGAACGGTAAGCAGCAAAGGATTCTGGGATTTCTCAGTAGTTTTGGAAGGAGCAGAATATGAATGCATGCATCATTAGAAAGTGATGTTTAGGTTTTTGTAGGTGAATGGTACACACGTTGCTTGCCGTTGATAGCTTCATTGCGATGTCCAGTATGCCAGTCTTGGGAAATTGGTAGCAATCACTATGAAATATTGACCCCATATGGTTCTTGGTCATTTCCTTCTTGATGGATAACGTCCTGACAGATTGAGCCTCCGTCGGCTCAGATAAATTTCCCTCCGTGAAGTTTGGATATTTTAGCGCCATCAGCTCCGCTCTGCCCTCTTTCCCGCTGCCGTGGCTCCTCGACACATGCTCTGTTTCTAAATGTTTCTCTGGAGTAATTAGAGAGACTCTAACCTTCAATGAGACCCTCTTACAAATGGGTTTGACCTTTGTGCTCCATGGACAGCTTAATCGAGCTTCGGAGCCAGTTGTTAAGTGCGCCGCGTCTCGCTGAGGCTAAAATCCAGGCCTATGTGGCAGACATGACCCAGACCCTGCAGAGGGTCTAAACCTCTGAGGGTAGGGGAGGGGGGAGTATTGAGATGCTGGATTCTGAAGAACCCTCCCGCCCCCACCCATCCACTCTCCGCTTGATGCTTCACAGAGATCCATCAAACACATTGAGCTATTTCTTGTAAACAGACCATTGTCATAAGGCAGGGGCAGGGACTGGGGGCGACAGGTGTTGAAAGCTGCAGACCATCCCAGCCCAAGCAGAAAAGACCACCGTCACGGAAAGGAGCCTTCACAGGACAGGGAGAAATTAGTTGTCGTCAAGCACCATTATCGTCGTCAGCAGAAGAATGATGATTAGACTGCAAGAGGGTGAAGCACAGACATGTAGATAATGTGTTTGAACTCCGATTGCTCTTTAAGATGATCCGGCCGTTAATGTGTGCGTCTGTTTATGAGTTGCCTGTCCAGTTCATGTTAACAGAAAATACGTAACACAAAGACTGAGTAGAAGCACATGGAGCTGAGTCATGTAACGGTAAAGTGTTTAGAACATAACCGTATTTGTCAAATATACAAGGTCACAATAAGCCATTTCACTTAAATAAGCCGTTATTTATTGGATCATCCGTTCTTGAACTGAAATGACAGAAGACATTTAGAATGTCTTTGCTTTAAGTTTATGAAAGATGATGGTTTGGTTTTTGTTTATTGTATCACATCATGCATTTTCACCTTGGATTCTTGCGTACCAGTAACTGCGGGTCTGTATATCGTATGTAAGCCTCCCCTGCATCTTGCATGTCGACTCTCGTAAGAGTCAAAACCAGCAGCCTAAGGAGCGCAGGCAGGCTGATCCTGCATCCTCCCTGTGACCCCTCTCCCCCCCCCCGGCTGTGTGCCCCCTACGTTCCACCCTCACTCACTCTTGCTCATTCATTATGGTTCTTGCGCTTCTTTTCTAATTGCGTGTTTACCTTGCACTCAACCCAGCCCCGAACTGCGATTTACAGGCACCCTAACCGCTGTTCCCCGTAGATAAATCTCCGCCACTCCTGCCTCCTCGCAGGATAATTTGCATCCCTGTCTGAGTGATTTAACACTCTGTGACACGTTGGTGCAGTAGGTAGCAATATTTAAAGGGACGGTCACCTTTTCTTTCTTTGAGCCATCCTCCCACCCCTCCACGCCGGGTGTCTTTCGTGCTGAAATAATTTTAAATATGCCATGTTTAGCTATTTGTAGCTCTTTTGGATTTAAACTTTGAGAAGAGGTTGCCCAGGGCAAATGGTATCTCTGTTAAAAGTTTATCTGCATTTAGAGCGGCCCAATCCACTGTAAAGCCGGGCTTTCCGATCGCAGTACACTTGGACACTTCAAAGCTCACCTCTACATGGCCCTACTATGCTGTAGAGAGAGCAAAGGTCAAGCATTGACCAATGAGATGCCTGCATTAACACGGCCAGTGCACAAGAACTAAGGGACACAGCTGTGGGTGTTGTACTGAGTGTGCAAACTGCTGTAGGGTCATTATATGGCAATGAAAATGAACACCAAACTACATGGAGTTTTATGGCTGGGCATGGCTATGGAGGGGAGGCACAGGAAGGTGCAGTCTGCTGGGTTTGACAAATGGACTGTGGAGGTGCCCATCTGGCCCTGTCCTTTACACATTTCTGTCATTCATCCCATCTCTTCCATTGTTGATCGTTCTTGTTGTTCTGGTGGTAGCAGGCAGGGATATGTAATTGAAAGAGGAAATGGCCTCCTCATCTATATGAGTGGTACCTTTCTGAGTGTGTATTTTAAGATCTCATTTATCAGATAAATATCCTATCTATCTATCCATCTATCTATCTATCTATCTATCTATCTATCTATCTATCTATCTATCTATCTAATCTGACTGTCTGTCTATCTGTCTGCCTGGCTGTATTTTTTTTTATCTATCTATCTATCTATCTATCTATCTGCCTGCCTACCTTCGTGTCCATCCATCCAACTTTCCATCCACCTACCTGTCTGCGTGGCTGCCTGTCTGTCTGTCTGTCTGTCTGTCTGTCTTTGTAGTCTATGTAATAATAAAGATACCGTTCTGGCCCATGAATGCAGCACGATCATCATCAGCTTGCTCTGTTTATGACGCTGATAGGCTCATGCCAGCTCGGCCCCTCCCCCAGTGGCCCTATGCCAGGGAGCAGATGCTCTCCCAGCTCTCCTGACCTCCGACCTGCCCGCTGTTCCAGAGCCACCACATTTCTTTTTGTTGCCTGTGATTGTTTCCCCTCGTGTCCCCTGGACTGGGCCAGAGTCCCTAGAATAACGAGCAGCGGGGTCATTAAACACAGGGATCGATGGGAGCGGCGCTCAAGGCGACCGCTTTGTGGCGGTGGGCCGCTGATTTAGCACGTCGCTTAATGGAGCCGCCCCTTGCCGCTGAGCGTGCTTCAGTGTCTTTGTGGGCTTTGCTGTTTCTGTTGGGACTACCTTTGGGAACACCCCCCCGAGCGCACTGGCTCCTGACAGATGTTGTAGGGTCAGCTCTGCAAAACAGGCACCATTTTTCCTATTGAAAGCACCAAAGATTTTGCTGGTTATTAATTTCGCACATGTATTTGTGGATCACTGGGAAGCCCCCACCAAGCACTGAATGCATGAAGTTTGGGGGTGTGTGTATTTTTGCATATTTTACACCAAACAGATAACATGGCCATTCTGTGTGTGACACCAGCCACCACCACCATGACCACTAAGGGGCCCAAGCACGGCATCCCCACCGGTAACGGGAAAGTGGAAGACGGTTACGTCTATTTTGTCGGCAACAAGCCCAAGCTTGATGCAACTTGTTCAGGAACTGGCAGCACGGATGGATGGGATTTACATCCTGCCACTCATCTCTAGTAGTATCCCAAGCTATGGACTCTCAGATTTTGCCTCTTGGCTTCCATAGCTGCCATGTCACACGGCGCTAATCTGTTTATCAGTCACAAGAAAACAAAATTGTCTGAAACCAAAACCTGCCTCTCTCTGGTTATCTACGAAAACCGTGTCTCAAGAGTTTACTGTCAGTGGAAGAATGTGAGGGAGTACATTTGCACCAGATCGTACTTGTTTGTTAATTTAATTAGCAGCGGTGTTTTCCAGAGTAAGAACACTGAGAATAAAGACCGGGCAGTTCTCCGTGATGTAGTCCCTCAAGGGGATAGTTTAATCAATCTCACCTGCCAGATGTTGCAACACACTTAAGATTACAGTTGTATTTCTCATGTAATTCCTCTGGTGACATTTGTATTTCCCAGCTAATGTCTCAGGTAAAAGTTTTTCTTGGCATTGTTCTGACTTTCTGTGTGCAGTGCCCGGGATTTGCACCTGCATCTGGATGACAGGCCGGTTCATATTTTTATCTTTGGAAAAACAAACATGAGTAAAACATCACTGAACTATGAAGTAATAAGAAAAGCTTAAAACTTGCATCACAAGCATGTTCATGACCTGCATTTGATTTTGCAGGTCATGAAGTAAGAAGGTTAGAAGGGAAAAAAACAGAAAGGAAACTATGAGCTTCTCTGCATTTAACCAGATTAAAACATGGTTGCAACAGAGGAGGGGGTGGCATTTTATAAGAGTAGTGGCTCTCAGGCAGGTAGATTCATCCAAAAAGAGGATCCCATGCTTTATGAATTCACATGATATTTAGACTTAAATATATGATTTTCTTATGAAACACGCCCTAGGCTCTTTGTTAAGTTTCACTCCTTATTTAATCACTTTCCTTATTTAACCATGTCTCTTCATAAGCAGCCACTTTTCCATAGCATAACCCTACAGCATCACTGCTGTCTGTCAAAAGGCAGGATAGGCAGGATCTTTGAGCATTGGCATTGATTCATTTTGTTTTCTGAGCCTAAGTGCGGTGTATTTTAATGAAAGGTTTTGAAATTAAGTTATCCCTCCGGTCTGAAGGCCTGTCTTTGATTCCTGACGAGGTGAGATTACCTTGCGCAGCGTGGAACGTTCCGCATTGGGCTTGGGATGCCAGACGTTCAGCACAGCCTTAGCCTGTCTTCCACACTCGCAGGACCTCTGTGAGGCCTCCCCATCGCTAAATGTTCCCTCCTGGCATCACGAGACTCAGGGGTGTTTTCATCAAATTTGGTCTTTGATTTCCCCCTGTGTATGATTGCATTCCCAGTACAGGAGATATTTGAGGTTTCATCAGTTGAATAAATCCAGCAGCTCAGTGATCACCTCTTTAGCAGTAGTAAACTTGTGAATCAACTGATCCATGCACTGAAACTTTCACGAGTGCTTGCTCTCTTCCTCAGCTCAGTGACTCTGGCATTTTAAAATCACACCTGAGTTGGTGAGAGAAGCCTTCAGCTGCCAGATTAGCTCTGATGAGGTATTTGTTTCATTTTTGTGGTGATTGTCTACTTGTGGGTATTTAAGCAAGTCAAAGGTTCACAGACCTTCTCTGTTTAATCATCAAGATAAGAATTCTTAAG